TAGAGGACTATTTTTTGCCGCAACTTAAAGGAATGGATATGGACGATGTTTATTTCCAACAAGACGGTGCAACATGCCACACAACCAACGTCAACATCCATCGATTGGAGTCCTTCTTCGGTGATCGCGTGATTTCGCGCAGAGGAAATGTGCCATGGCCACCAAGATCGTGCGATTTGACTCCCTTGGACTTCTTTTTATGGGGATATTTGAAAAGCAAAGTCTACGTTCAACAAACCAGCCACCCTCCAAGAACTCAAAAACAACATCATTGCCGAGATAAATGCAATAGAACCGAACATGTTGCAAAATGCCATGGAAAATTTCGACCATCGCGTGGACGTCTGTAAATCCAGTCGTGGTGATCATTTGAGCGATATTATTTTCCATACATAAATGGTAAAATAAACTATTATAATATGTGAAGAAGGTGATATTTTAAACTACACTTGAATTTAGTTAGCGACATTTCTTTAAATTGGTTTGGCAGAAAATTCTGCAAGATTGCTGTGAAAGACCTAGTGAATAATGCGGTTTTAGTTGGGCCATAGTGAACAAATGTGCAAACTGTATGATTCTAGTAGGGTGAATTATAATGGTAAACAATTAAGAATTTTCGGAATTATTTGATAAACTTTGTCATTATATCTTTGTTCGCAAAAAAGTACTAACACTAAATACAATTTCTAAAGATGTTGTGTTCTCGAAATATCAACTTTTCCTCAAACGATAAACCAAGATTCTCCACACACTGGTGTTTTTTGGGCTGAATAAAATCACTTGGGATTTGTTTGCGTTTAATTTGGGAGTGTTGCACTGTGTATGATCACGAATTGCATCTAAATCTCTATATATTTTCAAAGTAACAGTTTCATAATTTTTTGGGTCAAGCAATAAATATATTTGGATATCGCCAGCATATGTCTTTATTTTACAATCCCTAACACATTCGTTGAGTTTGACGTGTAAAGAGACACACGTCAAAATTAAGTACTAGCAAACTCTATACAGGTTGCTCTGAAAGATAGAACTTTTCCATTTAGCAACAACTGCGTTTGAAATAACACAATTGATCTCCGGTAAAATAGCAGCGAGATACCAAAACACAGCTTTGTTAGCTTCTTCCTTATTCTGCAACATTCGGGACTGTCTATACTACAACTATTTAAAACTGTAATGACTCATACGCGTGATCAACACGTGATCAGAGCTCGATCCCGGTTTCCTTCCAGTACAGCCGTATAGCGTACGACATACGTCGTTTCTGTGGCTTTGCGGTGGTCAACAGCACAGACAGAGATGGAAATAATGGCTGATTGTTCTCCGCCGGTAGAACCAATGAAATCAAAGACGCGCCTCGACCGGCAGACTCATAGGCGTCGGCAACGCATTGGAACGTGTTTCGTTGAGCGATCGCATATTGTGTGTTTTTATAAGAATTGTTGTGTGATTGTTATTGTTGTGGTTTCTGTGGTTACTGTTTCGGTTATACTTAACCATGGAGAGTACAAATGACACGAGTGGAAGTACTGAAAGCCAGGGAACAAGTAGACGGCTTCGTAAAGCACTGAAGAGGGACGCGAAAGAAATCGTGCTCAACGTATTCAATTATCTATGTCGCAGGGAGATGCACTCGCGCGTTGTGAAAGTATGACAGGCGTTCCAGAGTGGACCATTCGCAGGGTGGTGCATGAAAAGAAGAAAACTGGAGCTACTACTGATACAAAGTTTAATTTGAAGGGACGAAAGGCCGTTAAATTGGATGACGATAGCAAAATGGCGTTAAGGCGAACCGTACATTCATTCTTCTTTAGGAATGAGATACCAACCCTCAAGGCTGTACATGCAGCGATCAAGGAAAATGAAATTATACCCCAAATGAGCGTCGAGGTAATGAGGAAATCCCTGCACGAAATTAATTTTCAAGTATTGATAGAGACACCTGAAATAGTCGCCTGGCGTCGAAAATACCTACGCGAAATGATTGAATATAGGCGACAAAGCAGAAAAATCTATTATTTGGACGAGACATGAGTAAATGCAGGTCACACAGTTAAAAAACCTGGATAGACAAAAACGTAGTGAGTAACCGACAAGCAAGCATTGAAGGTTTGTCAACAGGTCTTCGTGGACCGTCAGGGAAAGGTCAAAGATTGATCGTAACTCATATTGGTAGCGATAGTGGCTTTTTAGAAGAGTGTGACTTGATTTTCGTCTCTAAGAAAGGAGGTGATTACCATGACGAAATGAATGCCAGCTGCTTCGAAAGCTGGTTTCAAGGATTGCTTCAGCGAGTTGAGCCCAACTCTGTGATCGTCATGGATAATGCTTCCTACCATAGTCGTCGAGCCGAACGTGTACTGACTATGGGATCTCGAAAAAGTGACATGCAGCAATGGTTGCGCGAAAAAGGAATCCCGTTTGACGATTCATGTGTGAAAGCGGAATTGTATGAAAAAATTAAACAGCACAAACCTGCGAACATTAGTTACGTGACTGATGAGATGGCCCGTCAATGTGGTGTCACTGTGCTGCGGTTACCGCCCTACCACTGTGAACTGAACCCAATAGAGCTCATCTGGGCTCAAGTGAAGGGTTATATTGCGCGCCATAACACAACCTTCAAATTACCAGACGCTAAGGTTTTACTTGAGACTTCCATACAGCTAGTAACGCCCGAAGCTTGGCAGAATGCTATCCGTCATGTTGTGAAGGAAGAAACAAAAATGTGGCAGCTTGACACCATCATAGAGCCAGTTATAGTCAATTTTAACGAGGAAAGCGATAGCGACAGTTTATTACTGTCAGATGTAAGTGGAAGCGACGATGAATAAAGGTAATTCCCAAATTTTTGACTTACAATATGTTTCAAACAACTCTTTATTAAGCATGTGACAAATCTAGTTCACCCATGTTAAACAATCATACCCCGCCTATGAACAGCCGACTACTGGTAGTGAAGTGATGTTCACGTGAACATCGATGAGTCATTACAGTTTTAGATAGTTATAGTATAGGTCTCCCACTGTGGACTGTGCTCTCCTTAACATTTTCACAAACGGCATTCGTACGAAATAACTTAAACCTACGCAGCACGGGGTGGAAACGACGATGGAAATGATCTGTGAGACGCTCACGGAGCATCAGCAACATCTTGAAAGCATTCGCTGTGAACTAACATCAATGCGTTATTGCTATAGAAATGTACCATTTTCGGTTTGAAATCCGATTTATAAACAGCTTGGTTTATTATCGGGCGCGCGGCGCACAAGTTGGATACTGATACACGTCGCATCGTTTGCTCCAATGATTTGCTTGTGTTTGACATCGCAGAATTTTGTGAAAAAAATGTGTGTAGGACTATGAAAAATTGCTTATGTTACTGGCAATATTAGCTTATTTTCCAAGTAAACTGGTTTTTTTACACCGGAGCAGCCGCGCAGGCAGAGGCCTAAAGACATGGTGACGCTGCTGCTATGAGGAGCTTAGACAAACTTTGTTAATCCGATTCTTGAACTTTCTAGGGTTAGTAAAACTGGACAAAACCTCCTCATGTAGATTGTTATACAATCTCAATACCCTAGGAGCGAAGAAGCGGTCTTATCGGCCAGTTCTGAACGTAGGAAGTTCGACACGGTTTGAATCGGAGGCCGGGTCAGGCGGGTCTGTCTGGCAGGCACATCGCATTGTGGTATGAAGATGAGAACCCGTCAATTTCGAACGATATTTTGAGGTCAGTCACCCATCTGCAAAACTTCTCTGGGAGGTAATAGTATGGATGTTTGCATAAGAGGGCAGTATGCCGCTGCTGATCGAACGGTTTCACGTTATCAAGAGCAACGACATGACCATATTGGATGAGTTTACTCCACAGTTGCGTGACCTAAGCTAAGGGAGTCCCCCTGTGGATCCCCTGAGCCAGAAACCATACTTTCTGTCTCTAGCCGAACGTGTAAAGGAAAGTCCCAACACCTTGTATATAAAACATTTCTAGCAGTGGAATGTGTACTGCACATTTTTGCCGACTATATACCCATCTATGAAGGGAAATCTTGCAAAGATATGGCTACATCAGCATCCTGATAGTTCTCTCCGGCGGCGAAGGTCACCTATATTTACGTCTCCCGTAGCTAGCTTCTAGGAATTTCAATTTTAATAATGCATGATGTAGTCAGTATGTGTTTACGAAACTGGTTTGCTGATGTTCTATTCATGTGCAGCGATGCGATACGAGCACAAAGCAGTGAAAAATAATCCAAGCTTGCACAGAAGTGGAAACGTTCTCGGTTTTCATTCGCGGATTCTCCACGCTGATCAATCAGGCTTGATATAGCTTAGAAAGCCGTGAGAGATTTCAAGAGCCGCCTAAGAGAAACCAGTTAAAAACAGGAACAACGCATATCTACAAATCGACCTTGAATACTGTCTAAATCAGTATTTTCTGGGATCACTTAGCTGGGTGTATACACCTATATTGTTATTGGTAATAAGACGAGCTAATTCCTTTCGCCGCCTTTGTCCTTGTGCGCGAATAGCATCTACATTTTCATTCTCTATAAACGGCAAGTCCTGTTCTTCATCTTCGTCATTTTCTTGAAAATCTTCATCTCTTAATCGCTTAGCTATATTGTGCAACACATCACACGCAATTATAACCTTTGGAATACCGGTCAGATTTACTCTGCATCCATACTTCAGGATAGGAAATCCCCGCTTTACTTGTCCAAATGTATGCTCAATCACATCTCGCTCTGATGTAAGCAGCCTGTTAAAGACTCTGATATTCCTCGTGGGGGTCGGTGTAAGGAGTCATAAGACATTATACCATACCCACTGTCCCCTAGAAGAATAGTGTTTCTTGTCCTTTTCATGACTTCACACACTGCCGAATTTTTCCATATACGAGCGTCATGGACTGATCCAGGCCAACTTGCATCTATATTAGTTATAAGGTCGCATGTAACCTGTACATTAATACTGGCAAAACCTTTTCGATTTACATATTCGTCTCCAAATTGGGCTGGTTTTCCATCAAGACGAATATGCGTGCAGTCGATAACTCCAATAGCTGTAGGAAAACGGAACCTGGTCAACCATTTCCCTTTGGCCTGCATAGTTTGTTTTTTTGTATTTGTGAATCTGATAAATTCTTCGGCTTGTTGTACAATTCGCTCTAACACATCATGAAATATTCTGGACACTGTGGTCTGCAAACATCCTAATTCTTCAGCTATTCCGCTCTGAAATCCAGGCATAGCTCGTGAGGTCCCTCGAGTATTTCTAAGAGAATTTTAAAAACGTATATACTTAGACGAAAACATCATTTAAATCTAAGATAAGTAATGAAACATTGTTGCAACGATTTTGCAATTCTAGACCTCTGTTATTCCATACATATCTGAGGGCGTTAGTAAACAAAACCGCATGTTTACCAGGCAAACAGGCTTATACAAATAGCTACAAGAACGTATACTATAAAATGTTTGCTCAATATTTCATATCTTGTGTGCACGCAAGTAAATCAATATTGTATAAATTCCTGCCTTTTTATATTTATAGCTTTTTGAAGGCCGATACTGATATTATACGTACGACTTCCACAGACCCAGATTTTAGCTTTATAAGTTGATCAGCCAACTCAAAGCAGAATTACGCGACAGGAGATACACTGTTTCTGTAATTGGACTCGTCCCACACGTACCAACAACGAACTACACTTTAAATGTAGATAGCCGTCGAAAACGAAGATCAGCTTATCATCCAAAAGATACCAGAAATCAGGTATATGTGAAATATCAGTGTTTATGTTCTGTAAGTTAGTTTCTCATATAAAATAAAATTATCCTTAAAATCACCCATAAGGCGGAAAGTTCGAATTTATCATCATCCTATTTAAATTATTGAACCGACTGAACTCTGGACCTTCTCTAAATTTTTGCAGTAACGTTTCGTTGAACTTTACAGAATCATTTCTTAAACCATTTGGATGCGGTTTTCATAATAAAATATCACGTTTCTCATAAGTCGATATAAATGTTATACATTTAATCGCAGTAATATTCTGAAGACGATATTATTTTTTTTTTGCTTCACAGGTATTCTGGTATTCTTGACAGACAGCCATAGGCAAAGTTAGTTGAAGAACTTCCTTACTATTCTACAGGTACCGAGGATTGCTGCCTTCTGGCATTCCCTTAAATTGTCAAGGTCAAGCTTCAAGACTTTGAGGTTTGTGTGGAAGTTTTTGTGGATGTGGCCGTTGGCAGAAACAATAAATGGTAGTATAAATGTTTGCTTTAACTTGTATAGTTGTTGGACCTCGTGTGAGAGCGATTCATACTTATTTTGTTTTTTCGGTGAAAGCCTTTTGTACATTTTCGTCAACTGGTACCGCAGTATCTATGATTTAAGCAATCTCTTTACTTTTGTCGATTACTAGTATGTCGGGACGGTTTTGATTTATCGATGTGCTGGTCAATATGGTTGCATCCCAATAATGACTCTTGATGATTCATATTTGAACAAGGGGACGTACTTGTATGCAGGCTTGAGATGTTCCAAGATGAGGTGGTTTTTGCAAATACCCTGATGTATTATTTTTGCGACCATGTTATGCCTCGCCAGGTATTCCGTTGGAGCTAGGGAAGAACATCCAGAGACAACATGTTGGATTGATTCAGCTGTTGTATTGCATCGACGACATCTGTCGGATTCAATCGGTTGGTTTTGTAAATTCTTGATGTGTGCTCTGGTAGGGACCACTTGATCCTGGATAGCATGTAAGGAAACAAGTATCCTAGTTTTAGGTATAATACAGAAGCCCCATGGTCAATGTATTCATTATTGAGGGCATGAAAAATCTACCGTGTAGTGGCTTTTGTCGTCACTCTGTAATCCTGCTATTGTCTGTATATGAATCAGGTCTGCTCTTGAAAATTACATGATCCGTTCCAATCATACGAATTGCGTTATGTAATGGGTTGGTTGACGATTCAAAGTATTGCTGTAGCGCTTTCTCTTGTTTGCTTGCCATAGTCTCAAGACTGATTAAACCTCTCCCACCTATTTTCCGTGGGAGATACAGTCTACAGATAGATGATTTAGGGTGATGAATACGGTACTTAGTGTTGTTCTTACATCAATATCAATTTTTTTAAGTGTTGTTGTTGACCAATTTATAACACCAAATGTATACATTATTACAGGGAAGGCCCAAGTGTTTAAAGCTTGAATAATGTTACTGCTGCTTAGTTTTGTCAGGACATGCTTAACGCGCTCCTTAAGTCTGACAAGCTCTTTAGTTTTAGCAGCATCAAGTTCTGACGCCTGTAAGACACCAAGATACTTGTATCTGTCTTCCTCAGTAAGTGTTCGGATCTTAAGGCCATTAAGCATTTCCGCATTATCACGGCATTGTACCTTTCCTCTTCGTATGTGCAGACAAGCACATTTCTGAAGACCGAGTTTCATTTTTATGTCTTCTGAGAAGTTATTCACAATGTCTAGCAAGGATACTAATAGCCTTTCGCCAGCAGCGTACAATTTGAAGTCATCTACATAAAACTGGTATGTTAATGGAACTAGAGGATGTTTCTGCAATTGATACCGATAAGGCGTGTCATTTAAGATTTGACTGAGCGGGTTCATTGATAGACAAAAAAATATACATTTTCAAGATTTCCAGAAGCCACGAGTGGGGCACACTATCAAAGGCCTTCTTGTAGTCTACCGACGCCATGGACAGGTTTCGGCGTTTAGTCTTAGTGGTATGCGTGATAAGCTTCTTTGCAACCTAGATCTTTCTTCTTATACCCGCACTGTTGTACTGCCATTATTTGCCACTGTTTGAGATGGTTATCAATTTTGTAAGCCAGTATGGCAGTCAGTAACTTGTATATGACTGGGAGAGAAGTAAAGGGTCTGTAGTCTTGTGGGCCAAGGTTGCCACTCTTTTTTATTTTATTATTATTATTATTCTTTTCTTCCTCAGTCGTATCTGTCTGGTAATAAAGGATAGACCAGATATCAACCAGGTATCAAAGAGACTATCCAAGCACCTTCCTTAGTATATGCTCTGTTCCTACTAGTGCCGTTTTTTGAATTTGGTAGAGTGCTGGTTTACCGGGTATTGAGTCACAATTTCCGTGGAAGGTTTTGGCGATAGTTCCTAATGCACCGACAACGACAGGAGTTATCCAAGCTTTCACATACCACATCCTCTATATTTCTATCTGGAGGTTTCTGTACTTAGATATCTTTTCATTTTCTTTCGATTTAACATCGGAATCGTCGGGAACCGCTATATCAATTAGTTGATATGCTTTCTCCTTTCTGTTATGAATTATAATGTCAGGTCGGTTTGCTTTTATTGTCCGATCCGTTATTACCGGCACATCCCACATAATCAGTGGCGTCATTCTTGATGTTGGTGACACTCTGGATTTCATGCCGATAATAGTTATCTGTAACTGGAATACCAAACGAGTCACATATTTTCCAGTGAACGTAACTAGCTACATTGTTATGTCTAGCGGTATACTCTGAAGGGGCTAGTACTTGGCAACCTGCTACTATACGGCTGATGTTAGAGAAAGAAGTGGTAACGGCTTCCTCAACTACAAGTAAAAGTTGCCAAGAAATTCCAAAGAATTAAAAACAGCATCGTTCCACTGTTTGTGAACAGAAAAATAAAGCACTACCCACTTTCAGCTACATTTACAATGCATTAAGCAAAATTATATGTTCACATCACGTAACTATAAAACAAAGATAGAGAAATGAAAATGTAAATTGAGACATTTAGTGGCACTTCAAGCGGACATTTTACCCAAAACCAAAACATATCAATGGCTTGAACAATATGGTTTTATACGATGAGAATGTAAAAAATATCCATAATTACCATTTACATGCTCCGTAGCGAGTTTAGAGAAATTTAACGCTAATTAAACAATTAAAAGCGGTGTTAATAGAAAGAACGGAATAATTTAATCTGCTTACACATGTTAACTATGAGCGCATGCAAAATGCTTGTTAGAATTTTTTTAGACACCTGTTACTAATTCGGACACGAACTAAGATAGCCATTTGTGCAAGTTATATAACTTTACGAACATAAGAAATGCAGCAGAGCTAAAACTCCGTATCAACTAATTCAGGTTTGACTATAATTATACAGATAGATCAAAATTATATTTAAAGAAATGACAGAAAAATGCTGTCATCTTCAGAAAGGATTATGTTACGCACAAGTTAGCCCGTTCCAGACAAAACCTAGTGAGCGAAAAAATTTAATGGACCAGGTCAGTCAAACAGGTCCGTACAATTAGTCCACAATCTTCACCCATTTGACAACGTTGCGATCTAGAAATGATTCATCTGCCTTGCAGACAGTACTCATCATCTGGCAACGTTGATATGATTAACCTGGCCGGCCACCGAACACGATAGCCATCACCGACTACGTAACACAAGCACCCATCGGTCAAACTGTAATGCAACTATACCCAAATACGCGTGTGTAGGAAATATTTCTCTATTATTTTAACGTAAAATGTACAGGGAAATCAATAATGCGTGGAAAATATGTCTAATAGGTGCGTAGAATTACCGGTGTTGGAAGCGTATAAATATATTAACGGGAAATAATTATGATACGCCTTTACAATTCTTCTTCTGCATTCGCCAATTTCAAGTCCATACAAAAGATGTTCTGAAAAGATTTTTATTCCTTTCGTTTTTACGCTCCTAGCTCCGCTTGACTGTTATTCAAAAACTGCAAACCTTTTCTTCCTTGGCATCGTAGCAACCTTGATTCAAAATTTCAATAGAATTAGAGCGGCACTCTGCAAGCTATAGGCGGGCCAAGGATTAGCTTACAAACAGACCGACGGAGGTGAGTGACATGATTTTTCGCAATGTGCATCTCATATAAAATACAAAAAAAGCAATAACTCATTTTTGAAATTGTTCGCGATAACAATACTTCCTCGAGAGTGGCGGGTGAAGTATAAATAACGTGAGAAAAATACCATAAAAGTCAAACTCCTGTCCTGCTACTATATGAAGAGTTAAAATTGAATCTGACTACTTGGCAGCGGAAATATACATTGCAAGATTGGTTCGATATTGCCCTCTTATTATAGAGACGTGAATGGTAAACTGACCTGTTTCCACCCTTCCTTTCCTTTACTAAACAACACTACCACACAACGTTTGTAGGGGTACCACTGAGCCCGAGTTTCCTTTTACACCCCTTATCAACTTCGGCTGTGTAGTACTCGTTACATAATACTGTATACACGCACCATAGCATCTGGACAGCCAATAGTACGGACAATACGCAAACGCATAGTCGTGCAGTTGAAAGAACAATAAATACGATAACTAATTTTTTTATGCCACAACTACATCTAACGCCTGTTTGTATTATACTAGCTACCTGATTGCTATATTACATGGTACACCGACTTCTTGCAAGAGCACTACCGTCTCTACTGCCGTTTTGAAGAAACTAGGTGGAACCAAGCAACTGTGAAATGAACATGCAAATGAACTATCACGAATTTGTCCGATATTTTAGAAAATAAAGTTCAGTAATAGTGGCTGCTTGTGAGACTTGATTCTCGTCTAGTGTTTGCGCACTAGCTATTACATCATCGTGAATTCAAATTTAAGCTTCTATATAATAATAATAGTCTTTATTCAGAAACTAACTAATTGAGAAACATTTGTACTCGCATCTCTAACACTTAACCAATCGCACTTAAATCAACACCAAGTAAAACATGGCGTTCTGGTAGGTTTACTATTGATTGGCTATCGAAACCATTACAGCTACAGTATATTCAGATAAGAGATAGACCGGATGTAAACAAAAGGTTCGGGTGATTTTCACGCTAACGCCGCCGTCTCGACGTAAAACAGGAGCCCTCATTGGTCAATTCGCAATTAAATGCCTATGCCGAGCGGCAGAGCAGTCGTATCAAGGCAGAGTCACATTCAGGTTCAGACGTGTTACGTATTTCGTGTGCATCATTGCAATTTGATATTTCTTTGGACGTTTTCGTTTGTTATCTTATTAAGTTGTTGAGTTTGTCGTTGTTATTGTTATACCTTGTTATTGATTGTTATTGTTATCAACTGCTTGCGCAAAATGCCCAGTAGTACAGATACTGCCGATGAAGTTGTAAACTCCTGTAGTCCACCTAGGAAACGCTCTAAAAAAAGACACCTGAGTGCAGAAATGAAAGAGGTCATTTTGAATATATATAAGATCGAGCGCGAGGAGAACGAGGCATCAACCATCAAAGAAATTGTTGTGAAGGTTTCTCACAAAGTTGGGGTGTGTCGCGCATCAGTGTTTAATGTGTGAAGACAATACAAAAAAAATCACACCTTTTCTGAGCCAATGACCAGTAAACATCGCAAAAGTATTGTTAAATCATTAGATGAAGCTGATAAGCATGCGATTAGGAGGAAAGTGCATGAATTCTTCTTTAGGAATGAAATACCTACTATAGATAAAGTACTGCAGGAGGTAAATGGAGATACAACGTTGCCAAATTTCAAACGATCAACTTTCCATGCGTTACTGAAGCATTTAAATTTCAAATGGAAAAAACGGGGTCGTAATAGTTTACTTCTGGATAGAGAAGAAATTGTGCTATGGAGGAGGGATTATTTAACAAAAATTGGGAAATATAGAAATCAAAACAGGAAGATTTATTACCTTGATGAAACATGGGTAAACGCAGGACACACTACAAGTAAAGTATGGGTTGATGATTCTGTAACTTCATCCAGGAGGGCCTTTCTAGATGGACTGTCCACCGGATTAAAAAATCCAGCAGGTAAATACGAGTAATAGACAACAATCGGATGTTTTTCAAACCTTGAGAACAAGGTTCTAAACATTAATTCCAGGGGGCAGATAAAACATATTACAAGTAACAAAACTTTTATAACTTTCGATAAAATGCGTGGATGTTTTATTGTCATTTTCATTTGTTAGAACTTTTTTAAGCCATGTTTTTATGTGTTTTCGATATTTCAATAATTTTTTAATATAATCTTAAAATATGTCGAATATTATAAACTTAAAAAAAGTTACTAAGTTTTATATTGTGTACCGTTCCTAATATTTCTAATCATTTTAATTCATACTTTAAGCTTTATACAGTTATAATTTGTTAATATTAATATTTGCGCGTATTTCAGGTTCCTGATCATTCATTTTTTAGAGGTTTATAACTTTAAATTAAATTGTGAAGCGCTGAGTAATCATACGACGTTCAATATTCTTTCTTTCAATATGACTAAATAATCCCAATTATAGCAATCTGATACTCATGTCTCAATGTTTTTTCGCTGAATGTGATGAAAACATTTGAAAAAGGTTCGCTTATTGAAATAAATCTACACCAGTTAGTACTTCGATTTCCAGGTAAAGGGAAAAGGCTCATTATCTGCCATATTGGCAGTGAGGATGGATTTGTTGTTGACGGTCTGTGGTGCTTTGAGTCTAAGAAAACTGGAGATTACCACGAGGAAA